ACTGCCAGATGGAGGCTTCTCAAAGACTATGTCATTAACTTCGTTTTTTGTCATTCTTATCCATCATGATCAGACGAGCTTTTTTTAGCTCATCCGGCAATAAACCTGGAGATCCATTCAGTTATTTATTTAGATATGATGGCTGTTTAGTCCTTTAATAATCTGTTTCATACAGGTTAGAGAAAACAGAGTCAAAAAGAAATTTAATAACATCGAGATATGATACACTTATTTACACTTATCTATGTTTTCCACATCAGAAGAAAATTTGTACTGTCGTCTATGCCAAACGAATCGTCGTTTTCGTCATTTGTCGTGTCCTGAAGATCCTCACATCCTTCACCACCTGATATTACGTAAACCTGACAGGTAAAACTGCGTGAAGATAAGAACGATTGAACACCTTCTCAATCCACATAACAGAATCACATGCCGTACCGTTTTTTGCTGCAGTACGCCAACGTTCAGAGATGTTCTCCGTCGCCTGCCTTCCTTCGACGCGCAAGCGTTAGCCAAACTTTTGATATGTGAGTCCAGCGAAGAATCGTTCAGGTCGACGCTGACCAGGAAACGACATGGTCCAGAATGGCCAACAATGGCGTCTAATAATTCAGACGGAAAAAATTAAGATGCGCTTAAACTGAAAAGTAACTCACGAGAAATGTTTCGGACACTGGTCACTTTCGTCGTGAAGTGGTTCACATGCGGAATCGGGATGTAAACCAGCACTCCCGCTGACGTACCGACCCACAGTAAGTCCTTACAGCACAGCAGAGCGGTGATTCGCAGGCATGATAGTTTGTGTTGTCGAATAATGTCATCGCAACCTATCAATGGAGAATTGCGAAACTACGCTTGCTCAGAGAAACGGTAGCATAGACGTTTACCGGCCAGGGCTTTGGTTACCGTTGGAGAAATATTCACTTCCATCAAACATGCAAAACTGTGCGCATGATAGAGCTTCGCTACGGCACTACGTTCAATGGCTAGCCATACCGAGAGGGCGCTTGTGACAATGCAGTTGATCGAGCTGTTCTTGTCACTGTTGACCGCGAACACATGCTTCAAACGCCAACAATACTTTCCCGAATTATCACCCTCGTTAGAAGGTTGTCATACCTCTTGTTTAAGGAATAACGGGTTGATGATGAGCACAAGATTGCGACAACCACACCAGATTCTTCCGGTCACGACAGTCATTGTGTTTATTACTCCAAACTTTCCAACGCATACTTGTCTACTCTGGTGGGTGTTCCATGTTTCGTCTGAAAGATACAGTGAAGCGCTAACTTGAATAATTATCTATCTACAGATCTATCTATATGTAGAAATAATATATAGATTGAATTTTCAATTGGCAGCTAATACTATTTTCACTAAGCAGCACAAAATGGGATAATGCACTGGCAGAATTTAGCTGTAATCGATTACCAATAAAACATATGGTCAAATAATAGTGAAGAAACACTGCAGATCGAACACTTGCTGATACTCTTATTGGTTGCCATGGCAAAACAGATCTCAAGCAGCAGAATTGCCTTTTGTTATATTGCCAATTATTGTTATATTGCCTTTGCTGTGTGTGTTATTTGGTCTTGTAATGCAACGTCATCGTCTGTCATGCAGACCGAGAAATGGGCAATGTACGGAATCGAATGTTAGGTTGAAAGTCGAAGAATTGTGTACACATGAACCGCTGTAGTTGTAGGAAGGATTGACCTTGAACGAAAAAATGATTGGTTAACAATAATCAGGTAATCCGGACTGTCTGAGCTACTAAGACCTTTTAAAACAATTCTCTGTCAACAGATCCAAAAGAAACTGTCGCAGGAATCTGGATTGGTCTTCATAAACGGCTTGACGAAATCGTTTCATCCAGTACTTTTTTTGCAGCTCACTTTCCATAGCAGGAGACAGAAATTGCATTATTAAGACCTGACAAGGCTTTTAGAAGAGGACATTGCCGTCTAAGCAGAGAATGGTAACCAATAACGACGAAAGAATTAAGCCGCAATTTTTGCCTGATATCAAGAAATAAGGCGAAAATATCATCTGCTAAGCTGTTCAGATAACTAAAATTAGAAAATTCAGCTTAATCTCCTTAGCCAGCGTATTACTTTTATTATTGAACAATAAAATGACATTTATTTTTATTTTTATGCTAAATATAAATATGTTTTATATTAAATGTTTTTGTTACATCGTGATCATCAGTGGATATGCCAAGGCTTGGAAACTGGAATAAAGTAAATTAACTCAGCAGCGGT